AAATGCAGTGAATATCCACAAAATGAACTCAAATATTGTATTAATAAGTTTTGATGGTTTTTCCATCTCACAAAATGAAAATCAATGACATAATTTACTAAAGCTAACAACTTTCATTTCTATTAATCATACATTATTTGCATTGTGACAATCTTATACGCATCGATTGTGTTTCAATTTGAGATTCAGAAGCAGCATGTTAAAATAAAAGGTTCTCTGTGCAATTTAATTCTCTTCTTGCGAACTGGTATCTCTTGTCTTCCGGTATTGTGATATATAAACTAAGGATATTAATGAATTATATACTCAAAGTACAAAGAGAAATTGATCCTCCAAGTATGTTTCATTTTGCTGCCATATTACATTTTAAAAACAGAACACAAGCAGAGAGGTTTTAGGGGGTTTTGTCTGATTAACTGCCCTAAGAAATAAAATGTGAAATAGAGCAAAACTGAAAGAAACACAGCTAGCCAGGCAGATACGTCTCTTTGCTAAACTTGTGGTGTTTGTACTTGCCATTCTGGGCCCTTATTCGGACTTGATGTCCTCAGCCAGAAGCCTCCCAGGCTGTGGGATGGCTGGCAGGACTGCACCAACACACCCTGGACGGTTGTCTTTGATAAGAAAGGGTGCCACTTTCATCCTCCTGTAAACTCTTTACCTCCGCTCACCTCAAGAGAAAGCTGTACTTTTCACCATCAAGACAAAAATACTCAGTCACTATATTCCCCTGGCTCTGGTTCTCCCAGGTCGTATCTTAGAAACCCCCTTCAGAACATAACTAGAGGGGTCAGATGTCAACCCAGGCAATTTGGTTAGGGCAGGGGGTATATGTAGGTGGGATCTTGAATCTAGGGAATGAAAGAGTGAGCAAAAACAGAAGGGGAGCCAGAGCAAGTGACCTCCATCCAAGGAAAGAAGTCATGTGCCTTTGCCCTCCGTCTCGGGGACATTCTGCCGTATGGGAGCATGCTGGCGCAGGATTTTCTAGACTGAACCTCTGTTGCTGGCATTCCCGTAGCTTATAAAAAGATTTTGTGTGAGTAACTTACAGGTTTAGATTAAAAGGATGGAATGCAGTGATCAGACAGGTTTTAGTGGGCCCAAATCAGGGAAAAGCATCTTTCAGAACTGTAGCATCTGTCTTTCCTGAGAACTACTGAAATGTATCAAAATGATAGAAATTAATCTATGAGATGCCAAAGCTAGCATTGCTTTACAACCTGATCAACAATTCTAGCAACATATTGCTTTGTGTATGTGTGGCAATCTCTTTTCCAATGATAAACATCCTGGTAGCTCTACCTTAATGTCAACTCTTCCCAAGTGATGTGCATTCCTTGTTATACGCCCATTGATCAATGGAGAAATGAATAAATAATCAACAAAAGAATGCCCCTCTCCTGGCAAATATTAACATTTTATTCTGAAAAGCAAGTAATAAAGCTGTCTGAGAGTTAGGATTTTAAAATTTGGTTTTTCTAAAGGTTTTTATATAAAGTTTCTTTAAGAGGTTATATAACACATTTTTTAAAGAAAAAAGAACAATTTAACAATAATAAAAAATTTCTCCTTAGTGCCAATATTATAAAACACAATTTCTAATCTAACATAAACAACCTAGGCTTAATACATAGCAGCAAAAGTTCATTATGTACAAAGTTTCCTCTTTGCTAATTTTAATTTGCTTTATCATATAGTTAATAGCCCCCATATAGGTATGATAACCCATGTGCTCACCTCTGGACTCCCTTCTACTCCACTTCCCATAGTGGGAGAAGGCAGCCCTTCAGAGTGGGGATCACGGAGACTTAGTCCTAGCCAGGCTGTCTCTGGATAAATGACTTAGTATCTCTGGGAGCCTTATTTTCCTCAAAATGACAGGAAGAACACCTGCCCTGCCACCACCCAGATAATGTGGAAAGTGCTTTGAAAATGCTAAAGTAAAACACAAATGTACAATGTTCACATGAGGTGTCACCAAGAAAGGCCCTTCAGGCATCCTCAGTGTGACTTCCTGGCTGCAAACCTCTGCCCACCTTATAACTGGGGGCTGTGGGAATTCCACTGAGGTGGGCCTCATCTGGGAACAAAAGGCATTGAATGCCTCACCCCCTAAATTCCAAGGTACAATCACTATTATCATACCTGCTATGTCACCACAGAGTTGACCAAAAGGGTTTATTTCAGGAAAAAACACCTCTGAAAATTCTACTCCATCTGCCTATGTGAGGAAGGCTGAGAATAGGGGTATCCCTACGCTGAGCTCATGATACAGCAATGACATATTGTGGGCTGACTTGCTTTTTCCCACAGAAATTCATATGTTGAAGTTCTAATCATACTCAGAATGTAACTGAAGTTGGAGGCAGGACCTGTAAAGAGGTAATTAAGGTAAAAAATGGAGTCATTAGGGTGGGCCCTACCCCAAGAGGGCTGCTGTCCTGGAACACAGACAGGTATAGAGGAAGGACCATGTGAGGACACGGCAAGAAGAGGACCATCTACAACCGAGGACAGAGGCCTCAGATGGAGCCAGCCCTGCTGCCACCTTGATCTGGGACTCCAGCCTCCAGGACTGTGAGAAAATACGTTGCTATTCTTTATGCCACCCAGTGCGTGGTTTGTTTTGGCAGCCCTAGCAGATTAATACACTATACCTTCATTTTTCTCTCTGCATGGGAGAAGAGGACACATTGGACTTGGCACCCTTTTCTTCCTCAAAGAATGTTCTCAAACCTTTCCCCTACTAGGTAGGGTCAATGATTAACAGCATACAGGTTGTTGAGTCACTGAATCTGCAGGGCACCTGATTAATTGATGCTGCCAGGGTGAGAAAGGGGTCAGGAGGCAGAGGGCGAAGCTGGGAGGGAACCACCCACCACTTGGTGTGGGGAGAACACTTGAGCCGCTTGTGGGCTGAATGGATGCCAACAAAGAAGCTGGCTTCCCCTAGGAGGGCCTCCTACCAAGGCGAGGGGACCACAGCCTCAAAAGGCTCAGGTGGAGATTTGCCATTAGGCAACAAGGCTCAGCAAGAAGCTGACACCCATGCCAGGGAACAGGACAGGAAAACACCCTCCTCCGGAGGAGCCCCTGAACAAGCCACAGGTGAACTGTCCTCAGCACTCCAGTATCTGGACACAGCACAGGGCAGGTGAACAGACATCTGCGGATGCACACAAAAGCCACAGCAGCCCGGTAGAGTTTCTGCACAGGCAAACAGTTCTGACACCGGATGAGGGACCTACAATCCAACTCAATTCTGACACTACCTGGTGATAGTGTCAGATCCCACAGGCTAAGGGCTCAGCCCTCCAAGACGGCTTCCCCCGCTTCCCGGTACACACCGCTTCAGGCACTAGCCTCAAGTCCAGGTTGTCACCTGTCAGTGGTCCCCTCCGTGGGTTTGATTAATATCCTAGAGCAGCTCACAGAACTCAGAGAAACATTTGCTAAACAGGCAGATTGAAGAGAAGCACAGGGCCAGGGCCAGAGCCTCCACGCCTTCTCCCAGAGTGCCAGTATCTCTGGATTTCCTCGTGTTCACCAACCTAGAAGCTCTCCAAACCCCATTCTTGGCAGTTATTATAGAGGCCTCATTATATGTTCACGATTGATTAAATCACTGGGCATTGGCAACCGATTCAACCTCCAGCCCCTCTCCCTTCCCCGGAGGTCTGGGGAGGGACTGAAAGTTCCAACTCTCTAACTTTGAAGTCGGCTACAGCTGGGCACCAACCCCATCCTCTGGCAGGCTGGGGGCTTTCCAAAGGTTTCTCCATTAACGTAACAAAAGATACCTTTCTAGTTTTCAAAACATAGGAAATTCCAAGGATTTTAGGAGCCCTGTGCCAGAAACAACGACCAGATCACATCACACCTTTCTTAATCTCACCTTCCTTTTCTCTAAACAGCTCTAAGCTGCAGGTCAGGTCCATGAAGGGATAGATGGAAATATTTTAGAAATAAGATTGGATTACAGAAACCAGTGGACAGGCTTAAAATGGAATTGAGGAGGCAAAACAAAAACAAAAGACCCTCTTTTCTAGTAAGAATGGGAAATTTCAGGTCTAAAAAGTGAATGCAGTCTGGAGACTCGAGGGAGCTGCATGCTGTGTGCATCTGTTGTGCAGCTCCTGAGCAGACACCTCGCACAAATGAAGGGTAGCAGAGTTGCTTTGCAGGTGTTTCCTCAAATCTGGTAAGTTCTCTTTTCTTCCTCAGCATTTCTTCAAAATGTCATAATTCACCTCATTCTCATCATCCCATGCCTAACTTTTAATCTCACCTCTGCAACGGACAGTGTGATCCTGAGCAAGTCTCTGACATTGCCTTATCTGGAAAATGGGCTTAATAATACCAGTTTGTAGGGAGGTCATAAAGAATAAGATCAAGCCTGGTATATCCTACATATTTGAGGTATGATAGTTACTACTGTTATTAACAACAGTAATTGGTAAATCCTACATTCTAGGAACACTATCCACATTATCCAGATGGGGTTATTCATGCCCAACACAAGCTCTCTGTCTAGAAAATGCATGGTACCCATTCCAGAATATAAACCCTGGGGGCCACCTTCTCTGTGAAAACTTTTGACTCCAACTTTGTACCCCCTTCATCTTTTTCCCAACACTACAAAAGAAACCTTTTCATCTCTGGGTTTTGTTGAATCTGCTGAAAAGCACTTAGCACATTAGTCTTCCCAGCTGAATAAGCCCTTTAAAGGCTTGGACTAGACTTTACTGAGTTCTGTGTCCAGTAGGTAGTAGTATGTGCTCAGTGTTTTGTTAGAAAAATTGCAGGCCCATCATGGGATCACTTAAAGTTGAGGCCCCACAAACTAAAATTTAATTCCTAACTTAAATTACAGTTTTAACCCACTCAGAATGGTAAACTTTAACCAGCCAAACTGGCATTTCCAGGGGTTCGGGGTCCAGGAGCAACTGTGGGAGACTTTTCCCCCTTAGGTGGGTAATCTTGTCTAAACAATGCATTTCTTGCTAACAGAGTCCTTCCTTCCTTCCTTCCTTTCTTTTTTTTTTCTTTTAATGCTCTCTTTGCCTTTAAAAACACTTCCCTTTCTGTGGCCCTGGGGAGCACTCTGCTTGCCGGAGGGGATGCTGTTGATTCATCAATTGTTTAATTAAATCTTCAAATTTACTTGAATTTTGAGTGTGTGTGTGTGTGTGTGTGTTTAACAGTTTATTCCTTTGAATTACATGGGTGGCTGCTGAATTCTCACCTACAAATGAGGTGTTGGACTAGCAGAAGCTCTGTGCCCTGTATTAGAATTCTCTGGAGAGCTTGTTAAAATGCAGGTTCCTGCACTGCACCCTCAGTGGGCCTGACTCAGCCTGCGGGGGAGGAAGGGTCGTCCCCGGCATTTGAACAATCAGCCACTCCTCCACCAGCTTATTACCATGTAAGGGGTCCACCCATGGTCTGCACCAGCTCTGGGATTCTGTGATTGCACAAATCAGAGTATTCACATCTGAATGTAGCCCTTTGCTCATTTCCCAGCTCAACTCTTCAGTCTGCTTTTGATTCATGGGAAAAGGAAAAAGGCTTTGCTCCTTTTCTCCGATGTAGAAACCAAGTTTTACTGAGAACCAATCGCCTGTTGGGCATGAGAGTATTTTACCACACAAATCAGTCCAGCGTGGATGAAACATTTCTTGAGATTTTTTCAGAGGCCACCAAATTAACCTACTTTTTGTCTAAAAATGGCCTCTCCACCATCTTCTACAGTACTCACCATTCAAGACTGTCTTTCCAGAAGGTTCAAGATTTGTTCTCTTGCTCCAAAAACTGGTGAGTAAAATTCTGTGAGACTCATGCAGCAGATTTCTGACCTACAAATTTTGCATATCAAATCTGATCACTTTCTTAGTAACTGTACTCTACCTCCTCCAATCCAAGTAGCAATATTAAAAGCTCTACATTTTTCTAAACAAATGAGAAAACTCTGCTTTAAGGATGCCAATATCACCTATAAAGGACATATATTAAAATAGTCCGAGCTGTTAAACTAGAGATTACCTGGCCATTTCCCATTCTCTGAACTGTCCAGCATCCTCTTATACCCTACCCAACCCCACCACGCCTATGAGCTGGAGAATAGAGACAATCATTAAGCCCTCTAGAGAAGGACCTTAGACCTGTGGCCACTGGAAGAAGGAGAAGGAAGTGAGGCAGGTGGTTGGCCACTAAGAAACTGTTTTTCCTTAGCACTTTTCACCAATCAAGGAAGATTGTTCAGATATTCCTTCCCTGCAGAACAGTGTAGGAGAAAAGAAATTGGACACAATTCCAGTCCTCAATGGAGTTCCTGGCAAACTCAGAATATCCTGGGAAATTCTGGTGGAAAAATCCAACATAAATATGCTACTTCAGCAAGTATAATTAGAAAAAACAATCAATTTAATATATCTGCAACAAAACAGTGCTTGTTAAGAATACTCTATCCTACATTAAAAACTAAATATACTGCTTGCTTCCTGTAAACCTGTTAATTATCCTTGCTTCTCTGTAAATTTTGGAGGATGTTCTCTTTCTGGCCCTGATATATACCAAGCTTGGGTTTCCTGAGAGACAGATCATGGGTGACCCTCACAAACACATTGCCATTGATTCTTAAACATACCTTTCCCAAAATTCTACCCCTTTTGACCTTGATGAGTGGGAAAGGTCCATGTTGAAAAAGTTTTGACCTCTGTACAGCATATGCACCACTATTTCTCACCCCTGTGCCACAGATTTTTTTAAATTGTGAAACATATCATATATACAGACTAGTATGTATATAACATATATGTATAATTTACATAATAATATAAAATAATCACCAGTTTTTGTTTTATCCAGGTTAAGAAATAGAACATCAGTGGTACCCTAAAAGTTCCTCCTTGATCATGTGCCATAGTTCACTGCTCTCAGAGAATATTGTGCCAACTTTCTTGATAACTGGTCTTCCTTCACTTGGTCATTTTGCACCTACAGGTACATCTCTAAACAACCTAGTTTTATATTGCCTATTTTTTACCTTTACACAAATTACAAAATATTGTATATTTTTCTATGACACTTGCTTCCTTACTCAATATAATATTTGTGAATTTCTTTCAGTTGATGAATGAAGCCATAGTTCATTGTGACCATTGGTTTATACTATTCTACTACATATATTAACCACAACTTTTATATCAGGTCTGCTTTTGATGGAGAGTTGTTTCATGCTTGGACTATAACAAATAATCCTGTTATGATGTTCTTCCATAAATCCTTTGCAAGGGTTTTCCTAGGGTGGACACCTAAAGGTAGATTTGTCAGGCCAGAAGACATACACATTTACCTTATGAGATAACATCAAATTGTCTTCCAAAGTGGCTGAACAATTATGGTCTCACCAGCATGATAGGAGAGCTCTACTTGCTTCCTTCCTTGACAACATTCTCTTCAGACAAGTCCAGCCCTCTCAGTCCTTCTCAACACAGAGCTCTGAGCCTTTTTAAAAATAAATTTCTCAATTCATAAGTTGGTATTTAAGGTAAAACCTGTTTGTCCTCTCCGATACAGAAGGCCCCCTTCATTTCTTTTTCTTAAACCTTAGAGTCTGGAGAAAGCCCCTAAGAAGCCAGCTCCCAACCCCCAAACCTTGAAGCACCCCAACCTTGGCCTCTCTTAGCATTCCAGAGTAAAAGGAATCCCGCAATGCAAGAAACCTGTTCCATCTCCACAGTCTTAAGATGCAAACACTACAGGAAAACAATGCTTCAAAAAAGAGAAAAAAAAAACTTTTCAGCGATGCTTTCCATCTTCCAATTGAAATACTTCCTTATTATTTCTAAGATGACTGTTTATCTCTACCCAACTCAAAATATTATCAATAAAATAACAGTGGGGAAGAAAGTATATGAAGACAAAGAGGAAAAAATGACATAAAAATTCAAGAATATTATATTCAGCACCAGAACATCTGCAGTTTTTCAGACATACATGTCACAGAAAGTGTTGAGAATTTTCTTGCTTTGCAAATAACCCACAGGGACTCTGAGGAGCAAATAAAATATAAATGTGTCAGGCTGAATTTCCAGACATATGCTAAGAAGTCCAGTCTTCAGTTTCCTCAAATCCAGAGCCATCTAACAACCAAATCTGGCTCAGAAAGCAGCAGTTCCTCCCTCTTTTCCAACAGAAGTTGTACCCAGAGCAGAACAGTCTCTTTAGCCCTTCATCTTTAGTAGACATCTTGTCTCTTTAAGATTAATAAATGAGTTGCCTAACCTGTGCCCGACCTACTTAATGTTGTTTGGAAGGGTCCAGTCATGTTCTTCCTGGAACTCAATGTGTGATTCAGGAGACTCATATAACCATAGTTGCTTCTCTAGTAAATGGGGGTTTGGGTTCAAATGATTTCTGACATTCCACTTTTATATTCTTTGATTGTTACTTTTCATATCTTCAGCTGAGTTCTACAGGTCAGAATGATACCCTAATCTAAAGTGTGCTTTTATGTGGCCATCTATAAATGTTCCTGTAAGCATTTGCTATAGTTCAGCTATGGAACTGCCAAGTTAATCTATGAAGGTGATAATAACTAAGCATATAGCTTACTAAAGCATGATTACTGCTGATTTCTTTACTCAGCTGTCAGTCCCTGAATAGCAGCTTTGAGATGGAAAAGGGCTGTGGCAGGTACTGTTGGTCGGCTCCCAGCTTCTTCCTTCAAATAGACCTTCATTTGTGGACTTCTGCAATGTGCCCAGTGGGAATGATGGTAATCTCATTTTTTTTCTTGATTGCACATAGGAGTTAGCATATGATTCCATCCAGGCCAACAAAGCATAAGAAGAAGACTGCTGGGTACTTCTCGAGATGATTTTTCTTTCTGATAAAAGAGAGGTATAAAAGTAGATGACCTTACACTGCCACCTCTTCCTTCCTGCTTTTAGATTGTGTCCTGTGAAGGTGGGATGCTTAGAGCTGCTCCAGCCATTTAGTGACCTGAAGAAAGACATCACTGAAATGCTGAAGATTACGAAGCTGAAAGTGAGGAAGATAATTCAATGACATTATTGAGCAGCAGAATTACCCCTGGAACCAACCAACTCCAGATGTTTTGTTATGTGAAATTAATGAGCCTCTATTACTTGTTTAAGACATTTTTATGTAAGTGTTCATACACACAGAGCCTAAGACATACTTCCTTATACAAGAGTCTAAAATGTGTAAATGGCATTGCTTTGAGGGCATGGATCCTTCCAGGCCTAGCTTCCTAGTTGATAGAATGACTAATTCCCTGAGATATAGATGATACATGGTCATCTGCCTCCTCCTAGCACTATTTAGGTAAATTGCTAAAATAGATGAGTTATTGTACTATCTCTCTAACATTACTCAATGCCCTCTCCTCAGCTGAGTTATCCATTAAGAAGACTAGGAACATGGCTAGGGTATAATAAGCAAAGAAAATTCAGAAAACATGATAAGAAGTTTAGCTTTGATAAATACTCCAGAATTTTATAATCAGAAAATCTAAAAATAAATTAATTTAATATTACATCATGTAAGGTCTATTAATATCACATATAATATTAATACCATATATAAAGTTCTGTGATTTTCATTAAAATATTGTTTTAAATTTGAGTAACTGTGGTAGAGATTGCTCATGCACATTCTCATCTGGTTCTGCTCTCTATCCTGGGCCAATGCAAGATGTACACAATCTATCTATGTACACAATCTAAGATCTATCACAAGCCATTGCTGATAGAACTGTTGGCTAATCCTGGCCAATGAAATATGAGGGAAAGAATGCAGAATTTCAGAATTGCTATGGACTCGTGACTACTGTGAATTTCCTACTCTTTCTCTTTCCAAGTGGGAATGTTTATTGTATTTTCCTGCTCCTTCTCTGCCAATGTGTATTGCAAGAATGGGTGGCAAGATAAACTCATCTCTTTAGTTCCTAGTTCATCTAACCAAGACATGACACTTCTGGACATGATGGAGGAAATTATTCTTATCACCTGGAGACCATGCACTGTGTAAAGGATGTAATTCCTGGATGTGATGTTGACTTTTCTTCCTAAGCAAGTGATTGTGTTCTTCATATAGACACAATAATAAACCAATTATTTGTGATCAAAAAGGCAGACCGCAGTGGAGATTATCTGTGCTTATCCATATCCTTTTCTCCTTTCCTTCCTGGGAAGATGAGAATCCCAGTCACCTTGAAGTTATTAGGATCATAAACTAGTTCTAGCCAATGAGAAAGAAGAGAAAGTGCTATAAAATTTCTTCTATGTCAAAATATTGTAAAGTCAGTTTGCCACCTTTATGGTCTTGTCACCTCCTTTGGCAATAAATAAGAAGGTCATATTTTAAGAGTGGCCTACAAGATAAAGGAAACCTTCCAAATAAATGGAGAATAATGTCTCCTACCTGCATTAGACTTTAAATGATTTTATGGTTCTAAATCACTGAGCCTTTGCAAGTTTGTTATTAAAGCAGAACTTAACACATTCTGACTAATAAGAAGAAAGGAGGAACCAATACCTCTCCATACTTAGGTCATTAATACCCTCCTCCTAGGCACATTGTCTCTTGATTGCCCTAAGACAGCTACTCATGCAACCCCCCAGGCCCACTGCCTTTGACGATCTGACTACACCCAGAATCTAGTCTCTTTTCATTAACCATCAAAACTTCTTCCTCCTGTCTATAGTCTTGCACACTATATACTGAAGAATTTACACTTAAATATTACCATTTCGATAGCAATCTCAGACAGAAGTTCTCAAGGGAGGAAATGCTCTTTTCATTTTGCTTACTTGATTCCCTTTCCTGAGTATCTATATATAAATCAGTGCCTACAGGAATGCTTTTGCTTGGAATCGTAACAAAAATGACAATAGGATTTATGGAGAATAACTGACAGTCTATAATTAAAGCTGTTTACAGTTCTAAAAATTTGTGTGTAGCTAAAACACTATGAAGAATATACAGGTGTATCTGATCTCAGTGTCCATTTTTCTAAGGAATGGGTGATGACCTCTCATCAGAGCTGTTAAGCAAATACATAGCCTCCTTGGTATTCTGCTCTGCCTGAGTATCCCTCAGCATTCCACTTCACACTGTTCTCGTGGGAGCACCCTAATTTTGCTTAAGGGTCCATGTTCTTTACACATGTATGCATGTTCAAATTAATTTATTATTATATAGGCACATAAAAGAAAACTTCATTTCAAACTCTCTTAAAAATTAAAGGCATTTATTATCTCATTTAATAGAAAGGATAAAAAGAGGGGGAGGGAGGGAAAAGGAGAAGGATAAGGGGAAGCAGGGAGATAGAGAGAAAGAAAGGAAAGGAAGGGAAGAAAAAACAGCAACTGACATATTTGTTGCCAATGAAAAATTTTAAGCTTACAGGAGAAAATTAGAATTCTGGAAAATTTCTTTCTGCCACCATGAGCTTGATACTATCCAACATGAGAGACTTTTCTTAGGAGATATTGGTGAAATTAGCGAATGTGATTTTGGTGATTTTTTTTTTGATATTAACATTTGTAGAAGAGCCAGATAACTGAACTAACATTCTTCTGATGGCCAATGCATGATGTTACAAAGTTATGTATGGTTAAAAGTTCTATTTACCATGTAAGATGTATCAGTGAATTTTAATGTGACAGTCCTATAATAATGTAATGAAAAGTCATGACAAGTCCTTTAATATGGCTTCAGTTTCATGAACTAACCTTGGTAAAATGACCACATATTAAGGTTTAGTATATTATCAAAGAGGAATATCCACAATGATCTGAAATGTGCATTTATTAAAATATTTCTTCCTTTCCCAATTATATATCTGTGAGAGGGCAAATCATCTTTATAAATTTTATTGAAAATAATATATTGCAACAGATTGAATGCTAAAGTGTTAGAGGGGGAGCATTGTGTATTCTCCTCGGTTCTTGTCCCCACAACAAAGAATTGAAGGGCAGAGACACAGTAGTGAAGCAGAGAAAAAGTTTTATTTGAAGTTACTTAAAGAGAGAGAAAGTGCAGGTGAACTCAGGGAGAAGAGGCACCCTGAAAGGTTTAAGCTTTATTTAAAGAGAGAGAGTGCACACTTGGAGAAAGGGGAGTGTGAGTTACCTCATAGAAGAGGCAGTGAAAGATTATTAAAGTTTATTAAAGTTATGCATTTAGAAAGCACGGAGCACTGAAAGGTTGGGAAAGAGTTTTATCAAATTTACACACTTAGAAAGTGCGGGAGACCTCGGAGACTGAAAGGTTTAGGGTCTGAGGTTTTATAGGCAGTTGAGGATTTTCAGGAAAGCGACCAAGGGCCAGGTGCAGACCTGCCAAATTGTCTCAGAATGCTCATCTTTGTTAAGACATTAAGTTTCTTTTTTTTAACTTAACACAAGAAATTTCCTGCTTTGATTCCTTTCTAGAATATCAGTTTCTGTCTGGAAGCATATCAATCAAGAACGTCTGCCCTGCCTCCAACGTGGGCTGAGCCACCCTCCATTTGATCAAAATGCAATCTTAGGTTTAAGATAAAATTCATGAATAAGCTGGGCCTTTGAGCAGGCTAAAGTAAATCTTACAATGGTATGTGTTAACTGGCACAATGAAAGCATAGGCTATGCTGAGATACTTTTCTTTATCTGGAGAGTATTCAAACTTCTGGGCCAACTTGCCCCTGGCCTTCTGAGCTTTCTATTTTTAACTGGTTAACTCTTTGAGTCCCTTCTAGTGGGCTTTACTGGCCTTATTCTCTTTCCACACCACTCATGCCTATTTTCCTCCCTAACAGAAGCTAATGAGAATCTATTGCACCAAATATTAAAGATATTTGCAAAAATGTAAAATCATTCTACTCTTACCACTCATTTGTTTTGAAGAATATAGTCATTTTCATGGAAAATATTACTCTTGTAAGTGGATTTATTTTTATTTTAAAATACATTTATCAATAACTATTTTTAAATATTTCTATTTTAATTTCTACAATGGTAAGTGTTTAAGATATAAACCATGAACCAGAGTTATTAAGGGTCCTCAATTTTTTGTGTAATAAGTTCCTAAGACCAAAGAATTTGAGAACCACTGGCTAAGACTAATCAAGACTCATCTGCTGAAACTAGGTATTGCCATCAGATTTACTAGAAGCACATGGATCTCTGGTATAGCAGTGGATGCATGGATAAATGTAGCTGTGTATCTGATGCAGACACAGCAGAAACTTTCACCTCCCTCCAATATTTCCCACAACATGTTGGTTGCCATTTGAGTAATAAATAGAAATGGCTTTGTGACACGGCAGCTCTCAGTCTCTCCAATTGCCAGGCTCTGCACCTGTGCATCCCCATCTCCAGCCCGTGATTATGTTCTCTCTGGCACGATTAGTCCCTCTACCTTTCTTACTCTGCAGTCTGATTTGTGGGAACAAACTGAGTAAAGGGCCAGGTTCCTTGTATAGCCCTGGCAGGTCTCACCAGGCATGATCACAGATGATGATGATCCTTGATCTCAGCACAGCCAGAGGGGAGAAGCGTGGAAATAGGAACTGTGAAATATTAATAAACATGGTTACCTTCAGGCACTGGTGCCTTTCGATTTTCTTGATAGTAAGAGCTCAGGATCAGTAAGCTGTTGGAAAGGAGAATCTATGGGACTTGTTTGGAAACTACACATGCTGAGCAAGCATGCACCTGTTTTTAATCCATACTTTATATTACAAACAAATAAAAACAGCAAAGCTTGGCAAAGATGTTTTTATTCCATACGTCTTTTATTACTTCAGATTTAGAAAATGATAGCTGGCCATTTTAAGTAATAAGCCCTCAAGAAGTGACCTGGGGTTGGGGAAATTGAAGGAGATTTATGAGTAGAGAGGTAGAAAGAAGCCTCCCCTATTCCTAACACACTCTTGGGCACCACCTCTGCCTTGAAGAAGGTAAGGAGGGAAAGCAAGGAACCAGGAATAAGGCGCAAAATGATTGCTAAGCCACAGACGGTAAATAAACAATAGTAGTGGGAGTAACGCAGGGTGGGGTGAACAATTCCTGCTGCTACTTGAGCAATAGATAAAGTATGGCAGGTGCCAGGGGAAGAAGAATGACCTTTTTCTGGAGACCTAATTAAAAGACCTGCCTGCTTTCAACATTCAGCACATTTAATCGAGTCCTCGCAAATGCTGAAATGCTATCAGAGATGTAATAGTATCCACCAGACTGCATGCTCACTTGAAAAAAGACTGAGCAACAGGATTTGGGGTCAAGGAAAGACATCGGGATTCCTGAGTTTGATCAGGAGACATCAGTATCAATAGAAAAGTCTCCCCCACCTAATATTTGACACATTTACTACATAATTCCATTAATTAGCCTATCTAATATAACAGTGTGCTGAGAGCTCTTGTCTTAGGTTTCAGATATTCCCAAGAGTTTACTGGGAAGTCATAGGACAGTGGTCTGTCATCCAACAATATTCCATAAAATTGATTAACTGGAGAAACTCATTACAAATCTCATGGATGGATGAACTACAAATTAGTAACATAACAACAGTTATACCTTATGTCTGTGTAGCATTTAACTCTATACAAGGCAACCTTATTCTCTGTCATCCTCATAGCATCTAGCCTCACAGCATAAGGCTCTTTCTTATGTCTGGATTCTGCTTGTGGAATTATATCCAGCCTGGGCACTGCTCCCTCTGTCTTTCTGCACAGTGCAAATAGCTTTTCTCTGATTGTATAAATAATACAGCCCTAATATAAAGTATTCTAACAAAATATAAAAATAAAAGTTAAGTGAGTGCCTTTAATACTTTGGTGGCTACCCTTTCATTCATCTCTTTATGAATTTTGCACATATAGTTGTACAAAAATTTGGAACATAAATGCAGAGTTTTTTTTGTAATCATAGATTCCATATATGTGATGTAGAGACCCACAATTGATATTATGCAGCCTTTTGGTTTTGCCTCATTTTCCCTTCCCATTGCTCCCGCTTTGTCTCTGCAACCTCTAGACATGACACAGGTAAGGAATGTCGCTCAGTGGGTCTGTCTCCTTGCATTTACTTCTCCATGTTGATACTTATTATGTACACTTATGTATACAGAGACTAGAGACATTTTTGCCACTGTTTCTCAAAAGTGGTATCATTTATTCTTCTGTATGTTACTATTTTCACTTAATATATTATGGAAATCTCCCTAAGTTAAGTGATATAGATTTTTGTTGCATTATATTCCACTGAATAAATGTACAAATTAACAATTTGAACCCTCTGTTTTTTATGGATGTTTGCACTCTTTCTAGATTTTTACCACTCCAGTGTTATATGAAA